CTTGCTGTACTTATGCAAGTAAATAGCGAGACCAAGGAGTTGGCGCTCCTTCTCATGACGTGGTACTGGTCATTCCTTTATAGCCTTTACCCTTTCTGGGTCTGCTCGTACACCATGTGTACATACGATGCAGCCCAGCACAGGTATCTCGGGGACCCCTATGACGCACTTTTGCAAGTTTACGTATAATTGGGCGGCACCCAGAGTCTGCAACACAGCGTCTAAATGGCGCTTGTGCGACTCGATTGCGCTCAGACCGTCCTCCGCCCTACTATGCACGAATATATCGTAGGCTGCTCGGCACTCCTGCTGGAAAAACATCACGGTGTTTCCACAGAATATCATAGAACGGGCTGCCCTTCAAGGCTAAGAAGCCTTGAGCAGCGAACCGTTTCGTTTTGTCGGTCTCCAAGACGCTCTCGTCCATTGTGGACGACGAGCTACAGTCCACCACGTTCTCTTCTGGAACTGGTGCGACTATCTCGTGGATCTTTCCTTCCTTTTTTCGGACAGAAACAGATACCACGTCATCTCCGAGAGATTGACTATCTCCTCGGCAGATGCGAAGACAAGTTGGAGCACCTCAACCGAGGATGCCTCCAGCATTTTGTCTTCGACGTCCTCGAACAACTCGTTCGTAGGTCCGTCCTCTTGGACCGAGACTGATCCAAGGGTCACTCGTTTCGACGTGCCCTTGATCGTCTTAATACGTTTGGTGCTCGTTCTTCGAGTCACCACGACCTTTGACCGGGAAGAATGTGTCGTTGCTATCTCAGCTAATGCACTCCTTCCAACCGCACCAGGCCCATGGCTCTGTGCTATCTCAGCTAACGCACTCCTTCCAACCGCACCAGGCTCATGGCTCGGTTTTTGTAGCGCTTGACTTCCTGTCAGCCCACCATCAGCTGCCACAGGCTCTCGGCTCTATGCAGGACTATTGGACGCATGACTACCTGTCATCGCTCCATTCACTACACCAGTCTTTTCGACCTGGGTAGGAATATGTGTCACCTGGCTTTCTGCCAGGGCACTTCCAAGTACACAACTTCTTTCGACCTGGTAGTTCCTGGTGCCGATGGACATACCGTCATCGCACCCTCGACTGTGTTGTACACATCATCATTCACATAAGCCTCTCGCAGGAGCACATCCTTTCCGGTGTCTTGCGTAGAGCTAGCGACTGTGCGTGTACGCCAGTCTATCCATGGTTGGTGTTTGGCCAACCAAGGCATGCCTAGGATGAGGTCATACGGACTTTCCATACCTAGCACTGTGAGCTTCTCTTTACAAGACAAGTCACTAAAACTGAAGGCGACTTCAACTTGAACTCCTTCCGATTCAACGAGCGCGCCGTTCGCTAAACGAACGATCGCCTCTTCTCGCTTGCCATCCTGACAAAACGACTCATAGTTCGCCGGTCTCTTTTTCAGAGCCGCGAGTTTCACAAAGTTTTGTGATGCACCCGAATCCACGAGAAGGGTCATTACTTGGTCATAGCCTCGTACTCGAGCGCTATAGACCAAAAGGGTTAAGGTCCGACCTTTCGAAACCTCAGGGACTATGCTACTCATTTGTTCGATCACTCTGAACGAAGGGGTAGCTTCAGAGTCCGCGACAGTAGTGCATCCCGCCCCTACTGCGCTCCCACATTTCCGACCCATCTTGGGCAGGTGCTGAACCCGTGTGTCGTGCACGCTCGTTTTTCACACCTCCCTTCGGGTTGGGAGACTTTTTGCTGGGCGCCTTGGCCCCAGCAGCAAGGATGGCACAGCAGCAAGCCATCATATGGCCTCGCTTGCCGCACTTGTAGCAGATCACATCTGCATTGCCTAACTCCATAGGAGTGGCATCAGACTTCTCGGTCGACGGCCTGTAATAGGCTGTCGCCGAGGCGCTGTTGTAGGATTGCTCCTCAACTAAGGCAATGTCAATTGCCTCTTCCATCGTCGCTGGCACCTTTCTGAAAAAGGCCTGACGCGATGGGCCGTGCCTAAGTCCATTCATGAACGTGGCTACCTTGATACGCTCTGGTATCGGTTCCCCATTGATGGACGCCGACAGCGAACGCATCTCCTGCACAAATTCTTGCAGAGAGCGTTTCGCCTGTCGTGCTCCAAAGAAGCGCGCCATAAGCAACACTTCGTTGTTAGGCGGCTGATACATGGCGCGAATCCTTGCCTTAAAGATCGCCCATGATGGAAATGCATCAGCATTAGCCATCAGCGCAGACTATGCCCACTCTGACGCTTTGCCACGCAAGTTGGACATGGCATACGACACCATTCTGGTGTCGTCTTCGATGAGCTGCGCCACTCCACATTGCTCGACTGCTAATAACCAGTGAACAATCGTGTGAGGGGTAGTTCCATCGACCTTCGGAGTGTCCATCCGAATGGGCCTCGGTTGAGTAGGCCGGACAGAGAGCGTCTCAACAGTTCTGTTGAGCGCCTCATTACGTGCCTGCTCAAGCCTAAGCTCATCCTGAGTCTTAGTGATGGACTCAGCGGTGGCTTGGCTGTTTACCTCGGACGCGTTTCTACGCTGTCCGAGCACAAACGCCTCAAATTGCTCCAACTGAGCAACATGTTGCTCAGGAGGACAATGCAAGAGGTGACTAGGGCTTTTTCACCAAGTCCCTGCGCCATATGCTCTGCCAACTCCCTATGATGTTGGGAGAGGTGAGGGAAGTCACTCCAGTCCATATTAAGGACCATCTTAGCCACAGGCACGCTCAGATATACGGGTCGTGGGAAGGACTACTAGTGCTACCAAGTGTAGGCGGGCTCTTCTACGAAGTTGCATCGTGCTACTTGTCACACACCTTCAGCACAAGCGAGAGTGCAACGAACTTCTAAACAAGAAGTCACCGACGTCACGTAGAAGCTTCTTCAGCTTCTCGTGAGTGGTGCTTTCGATCTAGCACATTCAAGACTGAGCTATATTTAATAAATTATAATTAAATATAATCTTAATCACTGATTGGCTATATATTTATAGATCGGATATGCGACTCTCTAAAAGCGTATCCTGACGTATGAGCTTAAATCTAGATTTAAGCTTGCGAATGACGTCCTTCTGAGACGTCGCGATGCCGTACGTTTCAAAAAGGTAAAATACTGCTACAGCACAGCATCGTCATTAGCTATTGCTTAAGCGTACGCGGTTGACGTGCTCGCTGCATCACCAATTCTTACAAATAGGCGAAAACCGCTCTAGCATTTAACCATATTCGTCGATCTTGGCTCACTTCGAAGGCCCGCACTGCTCGAGGTATAAGGTGGCCTTCTCATCCATTGTAATTCCTAGTTGTCTTTCGAATTTCGTTTTTATCAGTCCTAAAATTTAGACACCGGTGAGTCGGGAGCGGGTCTTGGTTCTAGAGGCTTATCAACTATAAACGCGGTACGCTTGGCATTTTGCGTATCAAGATGACGTCTATCCAGCTTTTGGTTCCAGCATTGCTCTCTCAACCTTGTCTATGTAATCTTTTTGGTGCGATTTGACCACGAAGAGATGATACAACTTTCACGTTAAACCGTAATCATAGGTGCCAACGTCATGTTCTATATGTTGGTGGCACGGTTGATATGGTAAACCGCTCTGCACACTGTCTTCAACTATTGTAGTGAAGCATGCTCTGGGTGTTATCTATGGTAATACGGCTCATTCGTTTTGCCATTTCATTTTACTGTTTTGCTCTATGGTCCACTACGCTAGCAAACAAACCTCTGAAAGAATATGGTTTACCTTCTTATTCACGAATTTCCATTCGTTGGGTTGTCCAACCGCTTGACTCTTGATGCCATCAGTGCGTTAGGACAATACGGTTGACCTCTGTAGGTGCAACAAAAAGGCAGGGAACAATTAGGTAAAAGGTGCAAGCAAGCATCAAAAGTAGTTTGAATAAGCGTAGACAGTAGATATTATATCATCCATTAACAACAAAAGCTTCACTCGAACAGATTAATAATAGTCCAAATTAAGCTTATTGCACCTACAATTATACGTGCTCAAGACTTCCAATAATTCGAGAGTACAGCATGCCCAGGATGCTGGACTTATAAATTTAGATTGTGAATGTTGATATCAAGAGCAAACGGCAGCATGGCTCAAACGGCAGCATGTTGAAATCAAGAGCAAACGGCAGCATGGCTCGTGTGGTGTCCAAGCCTAGGAATGAGTAACCTCTCGCTTTCTCCATTTCAAAAACAGGCCCGTGTGTGCTGGAGTTAAAAGTTAGTTTTCACTAGAATCACACTCGTGAGCTGCCATGTCACGCTTGAACACTTCATCCAGATCATTTGAGGAATTCTTGCACGCTCGTGACTTTTGCACGGACGATTCAAAGTGTTGTTTATATTTTTCTTTACGACTTACTTTTGGGAATAAAGTGTCAAAACAACGGTATCTTTTATTATATTATTTAGCATCAATTGACCGAATTTATTATTTGTTTAAGGCAATGGCTTATCGTAATTACGAAATAAGCCCTTTCTAAAACTTATAATCAAAATGTTGACTTTAAGGATAGGCCTGGTTGTGCGCAAAGAATAGGTAGGTGCTACTGCAGCCAAGTTCAACAGGAGAATTTGGTCTTGACAGCTATTGTGGATGTAAATCTCAAGCGTCCAGCAGATCCGCCTATCACAAAAGATAAGATGTTGCCAGCTTCTATCCACGAAGCGTCGCCCGACATGTTAATCGGCATAGATCTCTAGTTGCATGTGTTTTGATATGTGTGGGCACCAGAATGTAATACATATATCACATATGCACATATTGCAGATAAATGTAGATTTCGGCAGGGGAAACTCGTTTACGTCTAGTATTCCAAACTGTAATTATGTGGTAGTGGACGATAGTTCATTGGATCACTCATACGCCAGGTCATACGGCCGTATCTTGATATTAATAGGCGCCTAACAGTTTTTCGCCTGTCCCTATGCAAAGTGACTTTGCCGAACCATATTCAAATTTTTATTTGACCGCACACTCTAAGCATGCTGCGTTTTGTGACTATCACTGTGCTGCTCGTGGGCTTAACAACGGCTGAACCGGATGTGAAACCAAGGAACGGAACTACCTACTCCACCATCTCGTGGAACAAGTGGACCAAATCGGCCAAGCTGAACCCGAGCGTGCAGCACATTCCACTGGATTCGACACAAATCCACTTGCGACCCCCTCCAGCGCAAATTCCCGACACGTACGACGTGTTTATTGGATCATCTGCCTTCCGCGATGGGTATCGTTGTGGAAAAATGCTGTTTACTGCTTTTAAGCGAGCCACCTATTCGGAACGTCTGTATTTTGGGATTCTAGAGCAGGTCTACGAAGGTGACCCCACGTGTCTGGATGAGTACTGCAAAATGGCAGCGGAGGAATGGCCTCAAGACACGAAGTGCCGACACAAGCACCAGATTACAATAGATACCCGGGACGCTGCAGAATCCGCCGGATGCACGACAGCACGTCATCTACAGCAGAAGCTGGTAGGGAATCAAGAGTTTTGTTTTCAAGTCGACGCCCACTCCATCTTTACGAACAGATGGGATGAGAACATTGTTGCGGACTGGACCTCAATTAACAACGAGATGGCCATCATGACGATCTACCCGCACCACCCACACGAATTCATGATCAAGGAAAATGGTGATAACGCGATCTACAACTCTATTCCACATTTGTGTACTACAATAAAAGGGGAGAACAGCAACCTCACTCGGATTGTTGGAGCGAGCATGATCAGCGACTCGTGGATGCCACAGATGGGAGCGCTATGGGGAGGCGGCTACTCCTTTAGCAAATGCCACGCCGAGCGCAAGGTACTCGTCGACTCGCACACGCCGTGGCTCTGGGACGGCGAGGAGTTTCTTCGCTCAGCCAACTACTGGACGTCCGGCTATGATTTGTACTCCCCGAGCAGGCTTGGACACGTTCTTTACCACAATTACTCGGAAAAACCTGCGAGTTTCTGGGTAACATCGGTGGATCCCGTGAAAAAGGGTCTGGATGCAGCAATGGCTCGCAATCGCGTGCGTCTTCGCCTCGGGATACCGTTCAAGGGGGTCGTTGACACTTTTGAGTTTCACAAGTACGGCTTCGGTAAGGTGCGGTCCTTCGATCAGTACCTAAAATTTGCCAACATCAGCCTAAAAGGTTGGATGAACGAGACAAACTCGTGCGGACAGCTGCGCTGGGTACCGTACGACAATGCCACTGAGGTGGAGGAGACAGTTGGTCGTGGCTGGAAGCTGCACAGTCAAGACAGAGATGAAGACAAGAAGGATTGGAGCGCTGGAAAAATGACAGCGGAATCGCTTCGAGCCATGCCTGTTCATTTTAATGATGCTGCATTTGTCACCGACGAGAATGCCGAATTTGTGAAAGCAAAACTTCGCCATCAAGTCCCCAATTCGTACAATAATTTCTTGGGCTTTGGTCTGCCGACGGGTTTCTTCATTATCGTCATATTGACAGCCATATTCGTGACGCTGTCAAATGACTCCCAATCTAACGCGATTCGTCGCAGCGTGTGTTTTAACATAAAGAAGTCGTAAGAGTAAACTATATGACAGCATGTATTACTTCTTGCAAGTCTGGCTTGATAACTGACAACAAAATGGCATTATCTTCACATCCTGCAAAATTGGTCGAGGACCAGCTGGATTCCACACTTATGCACGACAATCACGGGCGGGAACGGCCTCATTAATATCGCTGGGGCAGTTTTAAAGTGTAACAGGATACACGTAAACATAAGTAATATACTTGATGTACGGTCTAAAAGTATCCATGATTACTTTTGACCTGTCACTTGGGTGCGATACACAAATGTAATCCACCCTCGTGAATGTGATATCCATTGATGGATTCACATGGGAAGGGATGACGATAGTTGAAGCTAGGCATCGCGACGTCTCAGAAGGACGTCATTCGCAAGCTTGAATCTAGATTTAAGTTCATGCGTCAGAATACGCTTCTAAAGAGTCGCGTAAATGATATATATATATATATATATATCCAATCATTAGTTAAGTTTATATATAATTACTAGGGTGTGTACCCGTCGTTCCGACGGTGCAAAGTAATATATATATAGGCATTTTTTACTTAAAATATCGAAAAAGCTAAGGTAAAGTGATGGGTATGATATTAAATGTGTACCCGTCGTTTCGTGCATACCCATGTAATTATATAGCCTGATGGACGGAGTTATTTAATAGATTTTACATTACAAATTTCAGTCATGATACACACTCCTATAAATGGGTGTCCGACGAAATTGATTGCTAGACCTGATACATATTACTAATTTAAATAACAGTGATGGAAATCTGCTTACGTTATTGTAAGAGTGTTCACCCATCATTGCGACGGAAAGGTCCGAGCGGACCTTAAATATAGAATAAATCAAATGAAAAGGACCAAATGTTAGTGTGCCAATCAGCTTTTTCATGCTACATTCAGCCTGTATGCAGCTTTTAATACTGAGGTCTAGGGTTTAGACCTGCCGTTTCGACGGATACGTGCGCAAATTTTACGCTGAAAGCATATTGACCCACCATTTTTACCTTATTATATATCCGGTTTACTATGGTGAGTTAATATATTCGATAGTCAATGTGTAGGAAAGTCAAGGTGTACGTGTCGACGCCGGTAATGTATACCTTTCGTTTCGCTGGTCAATGTGTACCCGTCGTTTTGACGGACACTAAGCAAGGTTTCTTTTTGTCTTCGTACCCATAATTTACTTCTATACATCCGGTTTACTAAGGTAAAGCTGTCGGTATAAAGGTGAATGTAAACCATCGTTCCGTAATGTAGAATGTCCGGTTGACTCAGGTAAATTTATAAGTATGATGCATTACATTTGACTCGATTCGCTTATTGTAACTTCATCCACTTTAACCTGCTAACTGCACTTAATTTGTAACTGCATCCACTTTAACCTGCTAACTACGCTTGCTTTTGCCACTTTGTAGTGTATTATTTGAGCATGGAGCCCATGTTTTGACTAACGAATCAAAAGCATGTCTCATCTACTATTCTTACTAAGCTGTGTTTATTATTGCAATATGTAATGATGCATATGAACATTTAAGTGTGCCATCGTTTCGTATATACATATTATAGATAGAAGCACGACATAAGGACACTCGGGGATGGACTAAATTCTATAATGAAAATTTCCTCGTGTAACATATATACAAAATGCAGATACAATACAAATGGGTCACATCTCTTATTGTAACTAATCTATACAATAAAAGAATACTGTCCGTCCGTTTGTCCGTGCGATCTTTTTCGATATAATCTGATAGGAACGCTTGCTTTTGCCAACTTCTAGTGTATTATTTAAGCACTGAGCCCATGAATTGAAACGATTCGAAAGCATGTGTCTCATCGAATATTTATAAATAAGCCGTGTTGATGTAGCAATATGTAATGATGGGTATAAAGATTGAAACGCATCGTTCTGTGACTTAATTATATATAGGAAACACGTACCCAGACGCACTAAATTCTACTACAGTCGTCTGCTCACATAATAATAGTACAAAAAGCATAGTCAGCCATTGCACAAATTAGCCAAAAATGCAAAATCAGCCAATCCAAAATTGAAATAAAACCAAATTTTAGCCAATCCAAATGCCGGAAAAGGATCAAACGGACAGACAGACGGACAGTATTCTTTTATTATATAGACGAGGGTATTTACCCGTCGTTCCGACGGACATGGTTTTATGCTAATAATAATTTTATAGGGTTGTTCCCGTCGTTTCGACCGATAGGTAAACAATGTTGACGCTGACCGTATATTGACTTAGATAAATAAATAGTATCAAAGGTAATGTGTATGCAGGACAACATATATCTGTCGTTTCGAAAGTTATAGTGTTCACCCGTCGTTTCGACGGACATGGTCTGCCTTTTGACCTGTAAACCCACCAACATACGTTAATAATTCGATTGACTTAGGGTAAAGATGGATACGAAGGTCAATGTGTACTCCTCAATTTGTCAATTTTTCATTTGATCACCCGTCGTTCCAACGGCACGAAGTTGCATATATAGGCATCATAAACGCAGCGATTTGCTAGGGTGTTTACTCGTCATTTCCCGCAAATTTAGTACGCGAAGTCTACGGTAACAGTTTCTTTATTTAGTTATATCACGTCGGGTCGATGGAACGCTGCGCGAAGTCGCCGCTGCTAAGGTGTATGCCTGTCGCTCTGACAAATAGGACGGCGAACTCTACGCTAATAGCATATTGTACCATTTAGGGTGTTCAGCCGTCGTACCGACGGTGCAAAGTAGTATAGATAGGCATTAATTTACATCAGAATATCGGGTCGGCTAAGGAAAAGTGATGAGTATGATATGCAATGTGTTTCCGTCGTTCCGTGCATTTTCTATTTATTTATACTGCATGATGGACGGAGTTATTATATAGATTTACGATACAAATTATATTCATGATACCTCATTCTATAGATGGATGTCCGACAAAATTCTTTGCTAAGTCTCATATAAATTACTAATAAAAATTAACAATGATGGAAATGTGCATACCTTAATAGTAATGATGTAGGAAATGGAACGATGCACCTCCGCAGAAGTAGGTAGAAGTAAAAGTAAATTATATTTAGCATTAACTACTTTCGTTTGTTAATACTACAACATGCATTCCAGCAACTTGACCATGTACTTGTCAGATGGTACTGATCTTACCTGCCCATCTCGTAACACATTGCAGCCGTATCGCCCTGTTCCAACTGTCAAGTTGTTGCTTGGTCGTCCCATTTATTAAGCTGTTGTTCTGTCTCTCCCCAGTCCCATCTGCTCGATCCTCTCTTCGTGGTCCCACATGTCAAGCTGTCAGACAGCCGATCAGGCAGGTGACACCGTCTTACGGTAGAGCACATAAATCTTGAAACTTGAGGTACCCGATCGTTTCTAACAAATAAGTAAAGGTGATCGATCACCCGTCGTTCTGATACATAGGTGCGCGCAGACCATAATTGTAAATTTAATTATATAAAGGACTGAATGTAAGTCTAACAGTTTTTGTATGCTGAGATGGCAAGGAGAGTGTTCGCTTTATTATGTATAAATTATATGGAGTTCTTGTAACGGGGTTACACGACGGTTGTAGCGTCTTTCCGAGAGTTTACGATTAAACTCTCCTTTGTATTGCATATAATGCATTATTATACTTTTCTTTAGAGAGGTATTAAGTAT